AACTGCATTTTGTATTCACAATTTTGAATTGAGCAGCATTCATAATGCACAAAAAATATTATAATATTTTTAGATTAAAAGGCATAGAGATATGTTCTATGCAATTCCTATAAATGAATAAAAATGCATTTAGGATTGAAAAGGATTTATTTTAACATTTATAAATCTCTATTTCTGAAAATCTGAATCCATTTTAATCTATTTTAATCCATTCTCGTTTGCTGGGTTAGTCATGTGAATTTGTCACTGGTCCGTACCGTTTACCGCGCTACATGTAAGGGTGATGTCCCATGCAGCGGATCGTGTGTAAGCGGATTCACGTATCGCCAATTACAGAATCATTTTCTTAGATTTGTTTGCAAATTTCGCAAGCGGCACGGTTTGCGCGGTTTCTATAGTTATGTTACGTCCAAGCTCCGCGCGCATGCGGAACTGAGGGGGTGAACGTAACAAGAAACCGAATCGTTAGACCGATTTGGTTGTGTCCGGGCTCCGGACCGCAAGGGAGCCGTGGGGAAGGACCGACGCAAATCGGGAGGCGCTTCGCTTCGTCCTGAGGCTCCTAACGAGCCGGGGGTCGAACGGAGGACGAAGTGGAAACCTCTGCTCGTGCTCCGCTAAACGGACACACGAGTCGGACGTACTTCGAAAAAGGGCCCAAACTGGGTCAGTGTGCCGAGAGGGGCGCACTTTAACGCCAGCTGCGCCAGTACGGCCGTATGCCCTGACTTTCGGTCATGGAACTTAATCCAAGTGACCGGGGAGAGGGCGAAGTACAATCGCGGGAGAGCTTAATAATACGAGGACAGGTATTGTTTAAATAATGACTACCGAGAAGTTAATTTTACAATGATATAATTAAGAAAAAAAAACTGGAGTGATACATTTCTTTGAATAAAATATAAATACGATTTTATCAGGTAAATACAATTATACAATTTTTGGTTTTCTGGATTAAATGTACACGTTTATCGATGTGTGTGTGTGTGTGTGTGTGTGTGTGTGTGTGTGTGTGTGTGTGTGTGTGAAAAAAAAGAATGGAAGGGAGGAGTTACGGAGAAAATAACGGGAGGATAAAAAGAGAAGGAGGTTTTGGTGAGTGGATTTGAGAGGGTTTGGCCTAATTTTCCTCGGATGATGATAGTATTAGCGGACATGAACGACCGGTCGACAGGAGGCGAACAATTATCGTGCGGCGACGGCGACAGATTGAAATTATAATGTGAACGGACTGCAATGTTTTCATTTTCTTATAGGAGATCAAAAGACAGAAAGAAAGAAAGAAAAGAATAAAAATAAAATAAAGCAAATGAATAATAAAAAAAAATAAAATGAAATATTGAAATAAGTTACCAAAAGATAAAGCGAGGAGGGAGCCAGAGAATAGAGATATACTGACTTACTACTGAGATGCTTATCGTTGGAGATCCTCCGGCCAGGATGTGCAAAGCTGGTGATGTTTTTTAACACTGACTCTACAGGAGAAAGAGGGTTTCGAAAATCGGATAGAACCTTTTGAGTATCACGACAAATTCACTGACTCTATCAACTTTGAGTATTGCGACCGCTTTTCTAACTTATCGCCCGACAAGTATAACTCGAGAACTTAGAGAAAATCTGCTATCTGATGCAAGGGTTGCGGAACCGCGATTTTTATACTAATCGCCCCAGATTTACTCAAATTTGGATTGGTGGAATAGGTTTCATTGGCTGGTAGTAGGATTTTCTTTTGCTCTTGGATTAGTCAAGTTTCTGGAGGAGGAAAGGATGTTGACAGGAATCTGTAGAGTGGGAAAGTGAAACTCAAAAATTTTATGACCTTAAGATTTATGGGGAAACGCGCGTCTCGGGCGCCGAGAAGTCGCGCATGCATCGTTGCCACGGGACCACCCAGAATCTACCCCTGAACGTCGCGTGTCGTTTCTTAAATTTTGTAATTTTGTAATTCGCGAGAATCGTCCGCGACTTGACTGTTAGTCTTGGCGTCGGTCTTACGCTTTTCCATAGGTATTGATTTTTATCTCGGAGCGACATTCATGAGGAGATACCGGATTCCTTGTTTTAGTTTTTAAGATAGAGAAGAAAAAAAAAGAAAAGAATATAAAATTTTAGTGTTTCGAGGAATTCGAGATCTCTATGAAAGAAAAGAGTCGCGTGAGTCCGCTGGACGTAACAGTTACCTAGTTAATTTCTATATCGCGTACTGAACTATATATACACTGGAATGGGTATCTCCGCTGTAAAGAGTAGAAAATCGTGGCACTGATTGATTAGCGCCATTTTAATTTGGTCAATATAAGAGCGAAGCAGAAGTTTTCAGGTGCTCATGCACTTACGTGTTTACTTACTTTAGTGTTCTTTAATGACACATATATGTCAACAAGATCATCATGTGTAGAGTTATATTTGAAAGATTACTTTGAAATATTATAAAATCACATAACTGTAAAATATCCAAAGCATCAATATGAAATGCTGTGTGCCTGGGTGCGAGAGAAATAAAAAAGGCATTTCATTTCATAGGTAAGAATTTTTGTATTAAATGTATCAATTCCTGCATATGTGTTAATGATGTAGGAAATGGAAAGTGTTATTACTGTTATTTTATTGAATGAACTAATAAAATTGAAGTTACATTATTTTTGTTTACATATCAATATATCATTCATGTCCATATATTATAGATTTCTACACATCGATAGCACATCGATTGATACATCGATCACAGCGTGTGCGCGAACGCTTCTGATTCGCTCAAATATCGTCCCAACTAAAATGACCGTTGATCAATTGTGGCTACAAATTCTTCTCGATACCCATTCCAATATATAGTTCAGTGCAAAGCTGGGCAAAATACAGATCAAAGATGTATTTGAAATACAAAAATAAGATACCTCTCTATTTTAGCGCCGAAGATAAAAATACCTCAAGATACTAAAAATACCTAAGATACATCAAATAGTCACAATACTATATATTTTAAATATCTTAAGATACTTTATCTAAAAATGAAAATCACATGAAAAGAGAAGAAATAAATGAAAATTGCGTTTTTCATTTGCTTTTTCACTTTTGGCGTGCCACTCACCGTTAATCACTTCTAGATTAAGTGAGTCTTAAATGTGGAAATGCAGAATAGGAAACTAGATTACTTTTGTTTTTCTTTCTCTTTCTCGATATGCCGAAATAAGACACAAAATTACCAAAAGTATCTTGTGTATTTTAAATTCTATATTCAAGATACAAAATACAATAAAAAATGTATTTGAAATACAAAATACATTATTGTATTGTATTTGAAATACAAGATACAAGATACATTTGTTTAAATACTTATTTGGAATACATGTATCTGGGATACTGCTCAGGTCTGGTTCAGTGGTACCGCGCTACATGTAATCGCATCCTTACTAAGTAACTGTAAGAACCGCGCAAACCGTACTGCTTACTTCTTTTTTCCTCTATAGGTGCGATTTCAGGTATGTTAACGCAATGTTGCAAACGCTTTGAAGCGTTTTTTAATTGGTCAATTTGTAAAATTCTTTCTTCTAATTGATCCATCAAACGCTTTAAACTATTTGTAGCGAGACTTTGACCACAGCCTACATGTAGCGCGGATGCGGTACGCAGTACAAAAACTAATTAGGTAACTATAGGAACCGCGCGAACTATGCCGCTTGCTTCTTTTCTTCTCTATTAGGGCGGGTTCACACCTAGGCGGAAAAGCGGAAAGCAGAAAAGCGGAAGCCAATCAGAACGCGCTGATAGTAGACGATATTTTCCGCTCGTCTGCTTCTGTCTTTCTGCATCGTTCCGCATTCTGTTTTTCTGGTTCCGTACGTCTTTCTGCAGATAGTTGAGGTTTGAAGAAATTCTAGTAACAGACAGTTGTTATTTTTAAAAATATTATTACTGAAAGAAATTGGTAAGTACGTGAATAAAATAAATGTATCTTTTTAATTTTAGTAATAAATTGATGTTTTGAGAATGTGTAAAATCTATTTCATAACCTCTAATTATTTTGGTTTAAGTTAAAATATTAATACAAAAATAAATCCCTCTACACAATTATAAGTTTTACATTATATTCTTTCATATATTCAAATATAGATGCATATGTGACAAAAATTCAGCCTGACATCGACATAAGGACATTGTCTTTTGAAAATTCGTACACAATCCAATATGCTATATATAGACAAATCACAAACATTAAAAGTATTCAGGAAAAATATTTTTTAAATGGACGAATATAATAACAATCAATATTACTGGTTTTTGTTTATATTATTTGTCTATTTATTGCTAAATCGTCGAAGAAGAACAAAAAAACGTATTTGGATACGAAATATATTCCATGAAACACAACGAAGAGAAGCTGGTGCACAAAGACTTATAAACGAAATGTGCTTAATGGAACCTAATAAATATTGCAATTATTTACGAGTGACACCAGAACAATTCAATTCTTTACTTAGTCTCGTTGAACCACATATAACCAAGTCAATAACTTTATTTCGTTCACCCATACCACTAGCAACAAGACTTGCTTTGACATTACGGTAAGAAAATTTATTAATGATATATTAATTATGTGATATTTTTAAAAATATCGCCTACTATCAGCGCGTGTTCTGATTGACTTCCGCTTTTGCTTTTTCCGCTTTTCCACCTAGGTGTGAACCCACCCTTAGGGTGATGATATACGGACGATCCGCTGCATGGGACATCATCCTTAGGATGCCGTCCCATGACGACGCGTATCGTCGTACGCGCGTATTTGCGTATCGAAGCTCCGACCAATTACTAACATTCCGTCGTCTTACATACGCGCCGTTTTATGTTTATGCGCAACAATCAGGTTTGCCGGTTTATGTATTTATGTGTATCGGACGGTTGTGTAAATCAGTGGTAATTAATAATTTTGTAGTGTTCTCTTATATCATCAGGAACACTAATTTTATGAATTTAGTGAAAACGGAATAATCGATAAAATATGCCGCCAGCTGTATTATTAATGATTACAGGTTAGGTTATGCTTAGAAATAAATGTTCATGAAATGATGTAAATCTTTTCTCTATTTCAGAAAAGTATATTTACGTATTTATTTTCTTTTGTTTAAATGCATTTTTAAATTCATTTCTTTAATAGGAAGTATACAAACAAATGATTCCAAAATTATTGTAATAAAAAAAAAAGATTTTTTTATAAAAGGTGAAGATATAAATGACATCTTTGTCATTTATATTTTGCATCCAGTTCTTACATTCTTTCGTTTTGCAGCTCACGAAGTGTGGATATTACGATTGGCATATCGATGAATTGGGTACAAGTCTCCTACATCGTTGCTTTAGAATATTTAACAAAGAAACGTACTTGTTATATGTCGATGACAATAACTTCATATCATGTCAACTTCTACTGACAGCAGTCGCTAAGTAGTGACCCTGTGTTCCCGCCAAGTCATCAACAAAAAGTAAATTTTTTAATTATTGGTGCTCGCCAATATAATAAAGAAACTTATCCAAGATTTTTCAATCATTCACTACCTTCAGGATCAAGAAGAGGTTATAATAGCGATATAAGAGCAGCAATTTACTCAGCCTTTGAAAGTGAGTCTGTAAAAAAGGATACAGTGGATGGATTCCTGCTTCAAATAAGAAATCAAACCCTTCCAATATGCAAGAGACATCAATTTGAGATACAAATCTTGTCCCTACTTTTTGATTTAGAACAAAAATTGATCCAGTTTAATGACGTGTTTGTACAAATGTTACATTTATATTTGTGATAATTTGTTATTATTTACACTAATTATATATATATATAT